GTAGACGTATTTTTGGTATTTCTAAGGGCTGTTAATGAATAAATCCATTTGAAATAATACCTTAGCGTCTAATGAATCGGCGACACATCAAGTGCGCAGTGAAGAGATCGTAAGCGGACTATCAAACATCATCAATTATATTGGTACGCGTGGAAAAAAGCAATGCGTTGATTAATGAACTAAGCTGACGAGACTTTTACGATTTATGCGTCATATTTTCGCTTTCTTTTCGGAGAGAATGCGCCTAGCGGGTGGTGTGAACAGAAAAAAAGTCAATTCGAGTAAATGTTAATGGAAGAAATAAATATATTTCTAAAAATTCGCTAAATCTGACAATTTTCTTACGTCACCAATATTTTAATATATTATTTTTGGTATTTTTAAGATTCGGTTAAGCAAACGTCGATAATTTTCTTATTTTTGCGCAAAACTTTGCGAAAAGTAGACTGATTAGACTGATAAAGTACTTTAGTCACGGGCTTTAGTCACGGGGTAGAGTATGCGCCTGTGCATTTGCCTACGATGCAGCACAAGACACACAATGTTGCATTTTGATCAAATTAACTACATTTTAGTACAAAATTTAAATTTTCAAAAAGTAAGTTGGATATTTTTGACAACTTTAGCCACAACTACCCCGATAATGAATAATGATGACCAATTTCATCATTTTTTTACTTTTCAAATTGCCCTTTATATGATTTACTATACTATTCGCATCTAGATAAATAGTAACTTAAACTTAACAGCTGAATTTTGCTAGTGCGTTTATTAAATTGTGAAAAATGTTTGTCTAGCAACAAAAAAACAATTCAAGCGCACGTGAAAAAAAAGGTCCGTAGTGCATGGCCGCTGACAGCGATGGAAAATATGACCGCTGCAACGCAAAGAATACACACACACCATGCGCACACGACTTGGCCACACTAAGTAATAGCGCAATAATAAATAAAGTTTTGAAAGATTAATGCGTTCGTTTTTTGCGCGTCTGTTGCAGATTTTTAGCGGTGGCGGCGTGTGCATGCGGATTAAAGTTCGGCGAAGCGTTCAGAAGTTTCGCCACTCGGAATGCGTGTACAAACCGACCGCGTACCGCACCGCAGTCACTCCAACATCGCCGTTTAGCGTTTCTTGCAGTCGGCCACAAGCCGAGAGTCGTTTTTGTTTGCCCGTTTAGCAAACTGAGGAGCAAGTTAGCGAATTTCACAAGTGACAGTTTTTTTCTTGGTAGCAGAAAGTAACTAGATACAAGTATAAGTAGATTATTAGAATTAAAGCCAATCAAGGGTAAAAAAATGTTTTTTTGGGTTTGTTACGGAATAACTCGAAAATGGCTTTAGTGATTTTAATTATTTTTTCATGACTAGAAAGATGAATAAATAACGAGTAACATAGTTTTCTAAAAAATTAGATATTCCTGTGAAAATTACAATTAAATATTTAAAAAATGAAATTTTTAAGAATTTTTAAGAAATTGTTTTTCTCTGATAGTTACCGTATAACTCAAAAATGGCTCTACCGATTTTAAAATTTCTTTCGTTTATAGAAAGATGCATAATCAGCGAGTAACATAGGCGTTTTTATGTTTTCGAAAAAAATTGATATCTTTACGAAAATTACAGTTAAAAAACTAAAAAGTAAAATTTTTTGAAAAAAATGTCTGAAATTTTCGTTCTATTTCACATAAATTCTGCAAAATTACAGTTTTAAGGGAATAATAGTTTCAATTTCGAATAATAAGTACATAATTTAATAAACTTTATAATTCAGTTTGAACGGAAAATCATTATTACTAAAATGACTTCTAAAATTAATGAACGTATTAAATATTAAATAGTTTTATGCTATGCAGATTCGCGATTTAATAGCGGCGGTAAATTTCGGTGCGCTTGCTTCCATCACTGCTGTATAGAACAAAGAAATACGCGTTTATAATAATTCCGTGCAACTTGAACTGCGCGCCCAAGGACGGCGTGCAGGTTTTATTGGAAAATATGACAATGTGATCGGCTGCGGTCGTAAATCGACCGCGCGCTTGGATTTTATAGTTTATAAAAATGCGTGTAATTTTCGTTATTAATGATTACCGATTTTAGTATGAAAGCGGACTAAATGAAATTCCGCACGAAACACGCCCGCTATCGGCCGAGTTTAGTGTGCGCGCTGAGAACGGCATAAATATTTTATACGCTATTGTTATATGCATCATGGACTCGTAAAAATTTGTTGGTTTTTTTGTACGTGCAAAATATAGGTACAGTAAAACATATTTTTATAACACAGTTTCTTTTAGCGCATTTTAAAGGCGCAATATTTTGATATTTATGTTAAATTTTTAGTAGGTCGGTACTTTTTTAAATATTCGAATGTGTTTTTGGTTTTATTATACTTATTTACGTGCGGAATATTGAATTTTGGGTGGGAGAATTTAATAAAATGTATATTAATACAATTTTTATATATAAATATGATTTTTGTTAAAATTTTAGAAAAATGGCATAATTCATGAAGAAAAACAACTTTTTTATTTTTGTCTTAACAGCGCCCGTTTTTCACGGTTTTGTGACACAAAAGTCATACTTTAAACACGGAGAGCAAAGGTCGTGACTAAAATACTTTAGTCACGGGTTTTAGTCACGGGGTGTAAAATTAGTATTTTTGCATTAACTTAATACGAAAATATCTTCCAAAAATTATGTTTTAATGCACCTGTATAAAAAATAGTAATTTAGGAAGCTACACAAGCTAAAATTACTATTTTATGCACAATTTATGCAATAAACCACAGTTTACTATAAATTTTAATATATAAAATGTATGCAATATCAAAAGTATTATTATAATTTGTTGTCCTCCCAATATGATTTATTTGGCATATTTATGAATATATACTTGATCATTTCATGGTTAAATAAAGAGTTAAAACTTTTTAATAATGCATAAAATAGCAATGTACTCGTAAAACTGCAACAAATTTTTAACATTTTTACTCAGTGACAGCTGAAACAACACTAAAACCCTCCGCATATAAATTTATCTGAATGTAAAATTATAATTAGATAAATTTTAGCAATTTTATGCTTTTGTCTAGTAATTATTCAGCTGAACAAGCTTAAACTACGCATTCATAATGCATATATTCTGATTATAATATGTACGAGTAGCTGCAAGGTGTCGCGTTACTAATCAATTTTTATTACGCCATTCAAAAAATGTAAAAAGCTCGCGCATGAATTGCGAGACAAAACGTGCGGAAAAAGGTATGTGCAGACATCCCTGCACACATATTCTGTACGGCTGCCGAATCCATTACTTATGAATCTTTTATAACTTTTCATAAAAACGTGTTGAATGCCATGCGCTGGTTTTATGGCTTCCGCGAGCACACGCCGCTTGGATAACGCATTTCTTCGCGCCTTTCCTCATCCTTCGGTGGCTGTGTAGCGGCCAAATGTTGTTTTGTATTCTCAATGTTGCATGGCGTCCTGAATTAGATGAAAACATGCTTGCCATGTGGTATTAACAGGGAGAATTATGTGACGGAGAGGAAATGCAAAGACGCTCGCGAATGGGGCGCACCGCAAAGTGGGCTAGTGTGTTCCGTTCGCAGTCGTATATCACTTTTTATTTCTATTACAGTATTACAGAATTACTGCCACTACACGAGCGCTGAGAGTGTGTGTGTGTTGGCATGCGTGTGGAAATTGTTGCGCTACGCAAAGCTGCGTAATTAAATTATTTATTTAATTTATGCCGAAAGGAAGTTATTTATGAATAAGCAGACTAAGATTATAAATGTTTGGTTAAAATTAGAATTTTATTATTTATTGATGATTATAATTAGCATGAGGAATGATTTGAGAACAACAAATTGATGAGAAAGAAAAAATTGATTTTTGCTTCAAAAAATAGGACAAAAACGTCAAATTTGTAGATTTATTATTTTAAATGAGTTTGAAATAGTAATAATGCACTATAGCGCCCCTAGGTATGAATTATACAAGTATAACTATGATTAAATCACTATATTAACTTTCATCCCTTATTTTACACCCTTCAAGTTGTATTTTTGCGATAAAAAGTAGTCTATGTCCTTTTCCATAGTCTTATTTTTGTTTATACCAAATTTTATTAAAATTTGATCAGTGGTTTTGAGTTAAAGCCCAACCAACTTACAAAAAATTATATTTTTATTTTCAACTACTAGAAAAAATTGATATATAAATACATTGGTGTATAAATTTCATTCTTTTTATAAAGCTTTTAATTTTGAGTACTTTTTCATCTTAATAGCTAAGAAAAGAAAAGTGAAAAATAAAAATTTTACTTATTTCATTATTATTTAACCCAAACTTAATAGAAACGTAGACACTTTTATTTTATATTTTATTCCTGGTCATTCAGCGAATTATTTACTATGAAATGGACGAAATAAACCAAAAGTACCACTTTTAAGACTCAACCTGTAAGCGAATGCGTGGGACAGGACAACAATAAAAAGTACTAGCCTCCTATGCCGGTCGAAAACGCCGTTTTATGATCAAGCTGTTGCATGCCAACATCGCCGACATTGCCAACAGTCGGCGGGCGATATCAATCGCTGATTGAGATAACGTGCTCTTGCGACCCGGGCGCTCAAGGACCAATAATTCGATCCTTACTAATTTGATTGGTAGTATTAACCTCTAGAGTTTCAGACTAATCCTCAAAATCAATCATTTTAGTATTATACAAGACACAACAAGTAATTATTTAATTAAATTAAAAATAATAATGAAATTTAATCAAAGTAAAATATTAATTAATTTATATATATGAAGATATTTATTGTTTTTATTTTTTGCACCTTGACTTAAATACAAAAAGCAGCGTTTTATTGAAGTGCCGAAGGAGACGCATGCTCTCCCCCGGATGAGCGAAGGATGAAGGCGCGCGCGTTCTCGCGGCGAAGGCCGCTCCTCGCCGCCCCCGTGCGGCCGCCACCAGTCTCGTCGTGCTGGTCGTGCCATCGGCGCCGGTCCTCCGCTCGCGCAGCGAAGTGAGCACACGCACGCAGTGTGTTCCCGAACGGCGCGCCGCTAATCACGACACCCGGAGAAGAGCGAATCTCTCGCGTAAATAAACCGCTACGGGGCTGGTCACCCTATTATCATCCCCCCGACACAAATAATATCGGCGCCTCCACCAACAATAAACAAAGCTGGCTAATGAGTGCACACTGACATTCGGACAGTGTTTGTTTGATGATGTTATCAGCGCGCCACATGTGAAAGTTGACAAATTGAGAGCTGCCCGCAAGTGTGATGCGTGTGAATAATTCGAAGCGCTGGAATGAGCCGCGTAGAGCATCGAGAGTAAGTTAAATGTTAATGTGAGCCACACACATGTCAACACGCAGCACAAACACAGCGAGAGGTGGATGTTTTATGCGCGCCGCGTGTGGCTGGCTGCCGCTTTTTATATATCGAATAAAATTGAAAAAAGCTTTTTCCGCCCCGCCGTCATAAGCTCGGGCTTTCAGCGTGTGCGCCTTTCGTGTTTGCACTTTAACTTTTCTTTGCACTCTCCAAGTCAGCACTTTCAATCTCTCGCGAGCAGCGCGCACGCCTTTTTATTTCTTTTCAATTTTTCGCTTTTTGTATCCAGCGGGCGTGTAAAAAATACACATTTGAGGGTTTTCCCACTTGCTTGGCTTGTTGTTATGCCAGATTTGTTGATATGTCATAAAACGCATATAAATATCGCTCGTTATTTAAAAATATATTGTGTTGTGTTTAAAATTTTCTTCTGCGATGAATTTTTTTTTTTTTTAAAGAAAAAACGAGTTTTTTAATGTAGGCGTTATAGTAGCGTACTTAAACGGGATGTTTTCGTTTGCGCGCGTTTATTTGCCTCCGCCCGGCGGCGGGCATTCTTTAGAATTAGGGTTTTTAACATATTACACCCTTGACGTTACGGCATAATCCGCCGTCCGGCGCGCCCGCTTTTAATATCTTGCGCAAAAGCACTTAATTACCTAATTCGCTTCGCTACACTTTGCAGAAATAAAAGTGTATGGAATGAATAATGCACGCGCGGGTGCTTGCTTTATATTTCTTTCGGCGTAAATATTTTCCTACTTGATTATGTCAAATGTGCGTCGTTCAAAAATTAATTAACAAGATTCGTAGAAAATTGTGGCGACAGTTATTTCGGGGAGGAGGTAAACGTTGAACTAAAAAGTAATTTCCGGTTGGAAACACAGGCATTATTTGCTAAAAATGTGTGTTTGCAGAACAAATAACAGTCATTTATTGTGTGCGGTTGATTGTATTGCAAGACAACAAGTTGTGACCAGAATCGGTGAAAGAAAAATAGCATGGAACGAAATAAAAGTGGAAAACAATGGATTACATATAGGAGAAAGCGTGAAATTTATTTCGAAGTAATATTATGCATAGGAATGTGAGTTTGTTTGTTTGTGACGCTTTTACACGAAAACCACTGAACCAATTTTGATAAAATTTAGTATGGAAATAGTTTTTATGAAGGAAAAGCAAATAGACTACTTTTTGCCGTGAAAAAATAACTGGAAGGATGTAAAATAAGGGATGAAAGTAAAAATTAACGTTTTTTTTTATTTTTAAATTAAAATTGACTGAAAAACAAGTTAAAAATAAATTACACTCATTTTTACAATTTTTTTTAATATTTATACCCTTACTACATAATTTTCTATTTTTTCTGTTTTATTTCACTTTAAATCCGATTTTCATATGTTATTCAACAAAATGTTTGATTATATTTAGTCACAGAATAATTAAGCGTTTATTTACCGCTGAAAAGTCCAAAGCTAATATTTTACTTCACTCTAAAGTCCGCTTAATAAATTAAAAGGCTTTGAGAATACCCGGAGGCGCCTTCACCAATCCAGGCGGGAAAGTGTCAATTGCGCACGAGAAAACTAAACGGACCGGACACATGTCGCGGTTTTCGTCTCTCGCTAAATCTAAACGTTACAGACGTGGAATTGAAATGGAAGATGACACATCACAAGAGACTAACCACACACACCACACACACGTACAATGCGTTTTATTCCCAACTTACAACTCACAACACGTCTCTATATATTATTATATTAAAGGCTTGCATGGTCAAGTTACACAAAGGACTATTATTGCCCGCGGACATTTCGGTCGGCGCTCACACGAGTTTTAAACGCGTTACAAGCGCAACATTTTAACTTCACTTTGAAAGTGCCATTCTGCGCTTAGTGTGATAATCATGGAGTGTGTAATAGTTGTCTGCGTCCGAAATTAACCGAATATTATTAATTATTATACCGCAGGCGCGGCGGGTTTGTGCGATGATAATTCTATTAGAGTTGGATTTCCGCGCACGTTTCGTTTCGTATTACAAACGCGACGCGACGCTTATTTAGAGCCTGGAAAAGGTTTATTTAGGGAAAACTATTCGGACCATTTATCAAATTCTCCGGGCGCGCGCGCAAATCCCGGGTTGGAGACCTTTTACCGCAGTCCCTCTGTGTGCTATTTGTTATATTTCATCATCTTTTTCGTTCTCCGGCTGTCGTATAATCTTGCGCTGTGCGTGGAACTGTCACCGAAAATGTGCGCTGGTAGCGAACCCGATAAAATTTAATAAAAAACCAAAACGAAATGTAAATTGCATTTTATTGGAAATTTATAGCGAAAAATTGACCTCGCTCGCTTCAGAGGGAAATTGTGAAAAATAAATAACTTTGTTTTGCAAATTACATTCCCCTTGTTTAATTAGCGTTGTTTATTTATACAACATACACACACATGCACACATGCTATTTTAGTTTATTTAGTCTGTTATTGTTTTGTGTATGGCTGTGAAACAAATTTGCAAATTGCAGCTTCCCAACACTCAAATTAGAATATTATCGGGTTTTGAACGGCCGTAATAATCCCCTAGCGAACAATTAAAGCTAATAATTTATAGCCAGGCGTCGAAGCGTATCGCTTTTCCAAGAATTCGCAATCACTGCGTATTCTTGTTACGGCGCACCGTTATTAACTGTTGTCGCAGTGCGTATCTATAAACATGCATCGAGATGGCGATACGCGCCGATTGCGGCAAAAACAACTCGATGAGAACAAGTCGAATCGCAAGGGGCTCGTTTATTTCGTGAATATTAAGAAGACAGCTTGCTTTATGAGGGTTTAACTGGTTGTATGGTGGCTTTATGATATAAATATATTGGGTTAACATTCAATGCATAATATTTATTGTTAACTTTAATATAAACGTTGATTTATTGGGAGAGTTTATGTGTTTTAAGAGGAATTAATGTGAATTAGTTTAGTTATGATTCTTTTATGAAGTATTATTGAGTTTATGATAATTGTTTTATGAATTTATTACTAGTAAAATTTAATTTATCTTTAAAAGCTTTTATTCTCGATGAATTGATACTTTTTTGATTTATATTAGTAAAAAATGCATTTTTAAGAAAATAAAGCAAAAATATTATATTTTTCATGCTTTTCCAATTGAATTCTATTACAAATTTAAATATTATAGTTGTTATTTGCAATATACTTGTTATTATACAGCTTAATGACTTATGAAATGCATTAATTTTTCAATTACTTAAACTACAAATGTACTAAAAGACAAAGTTAAACTTTGCTGAAGACACGCACGCTCTTCATAGTCACACACTTAAACAGCCTCTAGGGGAATTTTCCTCCTGGTGGAGGCGCCTGGCTCGCCCTCTTGCCGCTGGCTTTTAATTAAAGATAACAATTCAATTAACATTAAACGCATTTATCTTATCGTTGCGTGTTTTCCACAGTAAATAAACACGCCGACATACAATCAACAACGATAAAAATTAAACATGTGTACTGGAATATCGGACGTATTATACTAATATTGACAAGATTTACCAAATTTGGCTTCATTATCACAGATTTTATCAAGTGTTTATATAAATAGATCATAGATTGTACAATTACAATACAAATAATTGTAGTTGACACATTCTACGTATTTATACCCCTTCATCATGTCTATAATATAAAAATGAATCGAAAAATTTGTTGGTAAGCGCATAACACCACTACGCCTAGACCAATTTGGCCAATTATTTTTAAAATGTTTATTAAAGTCCACGGAAGGTTTTACGGCGAGAAAAGTTCGAATAATTGCCGGGAAAACCTAAATAAGCCCTTTTCTATTGGATAAAAGTTGGCATTGAGATTCAATCATAGTTATAGTTAAATAGTTGAATCCGAGATGGTGCGCTGAAGTGCAATATTAACAATTCTTTATATAATTAATTTCTTTAAAATAAAATTTCGAATCTTATTGATTGAATTGACACATACTATGTCTAGAACAAGAGAGTAAAACGAATTACATTTTTATTAAACGCTACTGGGACGAAGTCGCGGGCAAAAGCTAGTTTTTCTTAAATATTAATTATTTTTCTATTTACTATACCAACAAAAGTATTTTGAGCTGATTATTACAATACCAAGGCACTGAATTTTTCTGAATTAATATGAAGCAAACAGTTTTTTACCTAAATTAATTAACGTATAATTAACATTATTATGTGGCGCAAAGTAAAACAGCGAGTTTAGCGGATATTCGTCGAGTTTCCGCTTTATCAATATTATATTATAATCAAAAACGTCGAGGTAAACGGAGCGGGGCTGATGCGAGTGGTGAAATCGGGCGAGCGGAGGCGCTTCGCGCTCACCTGTGCCGACAAAAAGTTCCGGTATATTTAAGCGCAAATAGACTGTAAAATATTTAACCTTTACGCGCGCCCCGTGCCGGAAAGTTCTTCAATATTTCCGCGCCGATGTAGGTACCACGCATTATTCATGAGTTCTATTGTGTCGCTCTTATTTATGTATCGCTGGAATTTATTTACATTTCGTTTGCAAACTTACATTCATTAGTTTTTATCGGATATTATTAATAATCATTAAATCGGATAAGCAATAACTTTAATTATTAATTGAGGAGATAAATTTTAATTTGAATTTCAATAACTTTGAAGGGATCTTTCTATAAACTTTCATCCCTTATTTTCAACCCTTTTAAATAAATTTTTGCGACAAAAAATCGTCTATGTCTTTTGTTAAAGTATAATCTATCTTTCTACAAAAATTTATAAAAATTTGTCGAGTGGTTTTTGCGTAAACGCGTCACAAACAAACAATTACACGTAAATTTGCATTTATTCATCATTTTTTAATAGAAAAACCAACACAAAATTCATCTACACCTCAAAAATTTTAATATTTCTTCAAATTTCTTTCTAATCATGTAAAACAAGAGAAATTTTGCAGTAATTGCATCAAAAACT